GGCTCCTGGTTGCAGGGAACAGCAGGTTTCTTCTGAGAGCTCAACCATCACCTGCAGCCTTCGCCGTGTGCACACCACGCCCAACACCATGACCAACCTCAGTGTCTCCAGCGTGGCAGTGCCCACAGAGTGCCTGGTCTGCTCAGAGCTGGCCTTGCTCATCCATTTCTTCCCATGCCAGCACAGTATTGTGTGTGAAGGTGAGTCCACACTGACTTTTTCCCGATTTTCTTCATGTTTTTCTCTTCTGTTTCCCCACCCAGCCTCCCTCTTTACCCTGTCAGAAATCCAGGCATCCAAACATAGCTTTTGTGCTGTTTGTGTCCTAAAGCAACCCCAGCATGATTTCAGCATCTCAGACAGCCGGCGTTATCTCCGAAAAACACAGAATGTTCTGTCCACCTGCTGGTTGGGATTCCAGGCAGCTTTGCTTGGGCTTATAATGCCTGGGTAATTCAGAAGGAAAGCCAGTTCTGGCTGTCAGTGCTTTATTCCCCAAAAACCTCCTGAGAAGGATTTCCCTCTCCTCTGGCTTTCATAACTTTTCATTCTTCAGGATTTCAGCTGATTTAAGAGCAGTCTGCTCATACTTGTCAGCAAGTTCATCTCACAAGGCACAATATGACCAGAGGGAGTTTGGTCAGAACTCTGTGCCAGAGCTTCATCCTCTTCCCCCAGAGCTGCAGCAGCTCCAGGGGCACAGAGCAGGGAGGATTAAAAGGTGGTGTGTTTGCTGCTGACCTGGGAACGATTAAACAAGAGAGCAGGGTACAGCTCAGAATGCAGGTAATGACCTCATTCTGTGCAGGAACAATCCCTTAATCACCCAGGGAGGCCTCAGGTTGTTCATATCTGATATTCTTGAGTCTGTTGTGGGTTTAATTGTCATCTCTCCTTGTGTAACTTGTGGCAGAATGCTCCAGGAGGATGAAGAAGTGCATCAAATGTCAAGTGACAATAACCAAAAAACTGAAACAAGGTATGTCCTGGCTGTTCCTGCTAATCAGGACTCTGGGGAGGGTCCTGCACAGGCTTCGTTTGAGGGGTATCAGTGGTTTTCAGTGAAATAAGGGAGTTCATTTATTTTGACTTTGTGTGTGTGTGTGCCTGTTGTGTTACCCACCTTTAGAAAGAAAATAAAGTAGATTTTAATAGATTTTCTCAGGTGTCCCAGGCCAAGCTTAAGCTGCATAGACAGGACAAGACATTGAAGGGAGCTTTACCTGGGCCTGGCTTATTATTTATATTGAAAGCAAACACCAAGTTTCCCAGTCTGGTTTCACATGGGGTGGTTTAACAGTGAAAATTCATGAGGGAGGGAAAAATCACATCTTGTGCAAGCCTTACTTCTCTATTGACTGAGAAATCAGTGTCTGTGCAGGGGTGGCATGACCCAGCTGTCCAGAAATCTCAGAGCTGGAGTATTTCAATAAAGCTCTTCAGCCCAGTTTCAGACAGATTCGTCTCCTGTCCATGTCAGGATGAGCTGTAATGTCAGCAAGGCAGCAGCAGGGTTTGCTTTTGCTGTGGGATTGATGCAAGTTATCACTGAAGCCTTTTCCAGAGTGGTTGTGAGGGCTGAGATCACTCTCAGGGCACTGTGAGTATTTAATTGCATGTCCTGCTGCTCGTGACTGAGCATTGTGGGCTTTTTTTGGAGTCAGGCTTGAGCCTTGTGATTTGATGCCTGGAAAAGAAAACAGGAATCAGTCCCATGGCATTGGACATGCACAGCTGTCAGAGCCAGAATTCCATCATGCCAGAAATACCACTTTTGACCTGAAAGTGGACCAGGAGCATTTGTCTTGCCTGCAGACTGGCAGCAAAATAATGATGGGAATTCCAAATAAGACATTTGCAGGCAAATTTCCAGTGGAGGAGGAACATCAAGGTCTCTTAAATACCAGCAGGATTTCCCTGGCAATGATGTCTTCAGTGCTTGTTTTTGACAAACTCCACTGATTTGAAATCACTTCTTGCACTACTGATGTGCAACTAATTCCAGAATGCTAAGGACATCTGTAATGAGGTGTAAAGCTGCCTAATCAATGATTCAGGAGCAGAAGATGAGCAGCGAGAGCTGCACTGAGCTGAAACCAAGAGAATGTTTACCCGAACTCCAGTTATCTAGGATTTGGGATTCTTTCATTTCACAGAGTCGACCAAATGACTCATTTATGTAGCTTCATTTATGTAGAAATCAACACAAGTGATTCAGGTGGTTTCTTCTTGTGTGACCATGTGTGTCCTGAAAAACACACACACATTTCTTAGACATTTCTTAGCCAGAAATTGGAGTCCCAAGTGTAACCATGAGGTTGAGAGAACACAGTACCCTGTAAGGATTCCTGGATTGGTGGGGCAGAATATCACATCCAACTCTGAATTTTCTCACTTGAAGGGAGCAGCATATTCCAGAGCACCAAGGCAGGAATCTCAGACAGGATTTAAAAAAACACTCAAACCGTCAAACCGTCCCAAACACACCCAAACTACTGAGCAAGTAAGCAAAGGCTGTAAAAAGCATCATCCCGAGGCTTTTTATTTGACCCCTGGCCGAGACTGAGTGCAGAGAGCGTGGTGTGAGCGATGCTGCTGCTGAGGGGCAGCTGTTTCTGTCATTGCATGTAGCCAGTAACTGTATATCATTCCAATCCGGGTTATGTTGTGTTACTATTAACCAAAAATGTCCAGCTATACTTACAGGCTCCTTCTTGTAATCCTTTACATTCCTTTTCCAAATTTCCAAATCATTGGTATTGAAGGGAGCCTTCAGTAACATCATTGTACCATCTGGTCCCACTGCTTCTCTAAGAGGTGCCTGCAAAACTACTGGTTGTTCCCTAGCTTTTGCCCTAATATTGTCTTGGGTTTTTTTGACCTTGTGTGTGCTTAACGCCAAGCTCTGCCCACAGACAGCACAGAGGTGGAGTGCAGCCCCAGCTCTGAGTGCACGGAGCAAAGGAAGCTGATGGAGGAGCTGCAGAGCCGCTACCGGCAGATGGAGGAGAGGATCACCTGCCCCATCTGCATCGATGACCAGATCAAGCTGGTGTTCCAGTGCGGGCACGGCTCATGCCCAGACTGCAGCACGGCCCTCACAGTGTGCCCCATCTGCCGTCAGGCCATCCGTGAGAGGATCCCCATCTTTGTCTGAGGATGCTTCGCTGCCCTGCTGGCCCCAGCCCTCCTTTGCTTCCCCTCCCTGCAGGGGCTTGGCTCTCTGGAAGAAGGAGGGAAGTACAGGAGGGATGTGTCAGGAGAAGGAGGAGTCAGAGTCCCCTCTGGGGGTCTCCCAGGGATGGGACAGCCCCTCCCTCAGTGGGCTGAGGGAGTGTGCTGCTCATCCACCGCTGCCACCAGACCCACCACACTTCCAGAGCAGAACTGAACAGATCCCCTGGGATGTTCCAGGGGCATCTAGGACTGCTCTAAACTCCCACTCAATTCCCGAGGAGATCCTGGGGATCAGCTCTCCCAGATGTCAGGGACAGGGAGGTGATATCCCCAGACAGCCCCCTCTGAACCCTTGGGGCTCAACAACAGCAAACCTGGATGTCAGGAGGTCCTAAAGACAGAGTGTGTGCCTTAGAGAAAAAGTAGTGAACACTGATTGGAGAAAATCTGTTACAACAAATATTTCTGACCTCTAAGTGACACTCTTCATCTTCTTCTTCGTCTTCTTCTTCTTCTTCTTCTTCTTCTTCTTCTTCTTCTTCTTCTTCTTCTTCTTCTTCTTCTTCTTCATTTATTTTTTTTTTTGGCACAGCTATGTGTTCAGAGATTCCTGAGCTTTCTATCCATAATGCCAAAGGCAGATGTTAAATACTCCAAAGTGTAAAGAAAATAAATAGTAATAATTAAGATACAAGGAGGAGGAAAAAAAATTTGTTTCTTTGTTTTGCAGAAAAACTTAATAAAATAAAAATATATATTTTCCTGAGCATTAAAAATGAATGTACAAACAGTAGCTGCACTGTGGATCCAGCTGTATTGTTTTCCAGCTAAGTGAAGAATTATTATCCACTGAGTCATGCTGTAAGGTAAATTTTGGTGGAAGTGTGGCTGTTTGTGTGAGGTCTGGTGACACAATGATGCCCAAACCTTCTGTTTGTTACGTATTGGAAGCAATATTTAAACAAACAAAACAAAATGCCCATGTTCCTCTACTCCTTTTGTTCATTAGCAAAGAGGTGGCAAATCTTTTAAAGAAATGTTGAACTGTGTGGAACGTGTGGTGATTATGGGAATATTTATTATTTATAACCCTGTGGTGTATTGAGAAAGTTATTTCACCAATTCTTGACTTCTAGAGATAATGTTTATCAAAATATTCATTTGAGCTTGTTACAGTTCCAATAGATTTTTTTTTTTTTTTAATCTGTGAAAATGGATCAGATTTAACCCCTAAATTATTTGTTTGACTCATACTTAACACCCAGATAACCTGAAGCTGTATTTCAAAATCAACTTTGGTCTAAAAATCAGAGGTGCAGATTCTCATTATTTCCTAGATGTCCATGCTGATGGCAATCCCTTTGGAATTTCCCCAGAATCTTTGCTGGGCCAGTAAAATGAAAGTGCTCAAAAGTACAAATCTGAGCCAACTGTATCCTGTAAGAGCTGCTTTTATTTACCACTTTTTGGTGCAGGGGTGATAATTTTGCAGACTATTACCCCAGCCTCATGCTAAGTTTTTTAAAAAATAATTTATTCATGAGCCTCTCCATAAATCCAGAATGCTGAAGGATATTTCACCTATTTGTGCTGGCACGAGGAGAGAGAGGACAGAAGTGACAAAATGTTCAAAATCTGTCATGTAATGATCATCCCTTATTCCAAAGGTCTCCTTTTATTCAGGAAAAACAACATGGAGCGTCCGCTTCATTTTTATTAAATGGTTTCTTTGGGTGCTGAATGAAGAGAGGCTTCCAAGTGATTATTTTCCCTAAAGGAAAAAAAAAAGTAATTGCAGGAAGAGTGCAGTCTTTGACTTCCAAGCTGTGCAGCTGTTGCAGAAGACTGAAGTTGTTTAAAAAAATATTTTTTTTCTTTCCTGTCTAATGAAAAGAGATTTTGAAGGGAAGAAAGAGCTCCCTCAGTTTTATGTTTTATCTTTTTTAAATTCAAGAGGTGGCAGAGAAGGCAGCAGGTGCCCCTTTGTGCCAAGAATGTTTTTGGCAAACTTTTCCCCCCATGCCAGTCTCAGCTCAGGCTTTGGAAGAGGGAGGAAAGTTCTGTTTTACATTCCTTGATAAACCTGCATCAAATCTGCTGAGAGATCCTGAGATGGGAGAGCTGGGGGAAGATTTTCCTCCCCTTTTTGTCCTTTTCTACCCTTTTGCTGTTGTATTTCTTGCTGTGTTTTTGATTTCTTGCTGGTTATAGAACACGGAAGTTCCTGCTGCTGCAGGGAGGGAAGGAGATGCCAGAGCAGTGGGCAATGCTCCTTTAAAGGCAAATATCGCCCTTTGTTAATTGGTGTGGGTAATGAGAAGCTTTCTGCTTGATGTTTGTGACCAGCTGGTCTCCCAAAAAGGAGACTTGGATGGGTCCTCTGCAAAGGAGCTCCTGGGACTTCTGCCATCTCTTGGATGCAGCTCTGGGCCTTAGATATCCCCAGGTTTTTCTGGTGTACAACTTCAATTTTAACACGTCAGCTCCTCTCAGACTTGGTACAAAAGGTTTCCACATCTTTTAGTTTGGAAGTGTGGCCAAAGCTGTATTTTACAGACAATGTGAGACTGAGGTAGAAAAGAGAGGGAGATTTTTCTTGCAAAGCAGAGTCACATAATGGACCCATCTCTCCTTTATGTTATTTGTGCTTCTCCCAGGATTTCAAGAGGATTGGTCCACCCACAAGTGGCATAATACTATTAAAAATAGGTTATTAATACATCCCACCAGAGAGCAGAGACAAAAGTATCCCCACCCAGGGTGCAGTTCTTAGTTCATTATGTGTGTTTTGTGAAACCTTTCTCCCTCATTTCATCCCCAGATTTCTGTTCCCCATGGTCAGGACTGCAGTGCTGAGCACCTGCCTGGGTCAAGCCAGTGCAGCACTTCTCTGAGCAGCAGCTCAAACTGTCAGTTAAGCAAAATATTCCTTTTTCTTTGCCAGCTGGAGCTGTTTTCAGTTCATTTGTTATTCATCAGACCATGGATTTTTCTAGGAACATCAGCAGATGCTGATCACAAGGGGCTGCAGGGTAGAAAGTGGGAGAATTCTCTTTAGACCCCAGACATTCCTGTTCTCCCTCTCCCTGGGGAGCATTGCTCCCTCTTACAAAACCTTTTTTTAGCCCGTGATCCACAGAAAAAGCACAAATTTTCAGTGCCATTCCCACAGGAACCATGCAGGAATGTTGGGTTGTTGGTTTTATTTTCTTTTCCCCCCAAGCTGGGAGCTGAAGGGCAAAATCTCTAAGTGCTTTTTGAAGGGAGGGCTGTGTGAGGTTTTCCTGATTCCTTTCACATGGGCCAAGGAGGAGCTGTTCTGTGGTAAATCACATTCCCTGCAGATGAAATCCTGATCCTGGGGCCTCGAGCCGTCAGATTTTGGGTCCTTCTCCTTTCCCCACCTCCATGCAGAATTCCCAATCACAACAGGGGAAGCTGATGGTGGTGTTTTGTTCCAATGACAAGGAACAAAACTTATCCAATGATAAGGCTCTTATCCATGAATAAACAGAGATTTCATGAGAGGTGAGGTTCCTTTGGGACAGTCAGAGAGCTCCACTCCCAGCACTGATGGTGGTTCTCTCTGTATCACCTCTTAGGACAGGTTTTGCTGTAATGTTTGTTGGGTTTGTGTTATTTTGGGGATTGGGATGAAGCAGTGCCAGTGTCCTGAGAAATTAAGTGGAGATACTGAAAATTGTGCTGAAAAAAACATTTAAAGGAGGCTGAACAAAGGAAAGAGAAATGCTAAGAATAATCCATAAAGGTTAAAAAAAATTATTTCTGAGCTAAAGGCTGCCCTGGGGAAGGGAGCCATGTGTTGTGTGTTATGCACAGCCCTGCTTTAAGCCAAACATTTCAGCAACTGAGTGAAAAGAGCAAAGCTGAGGTGATGGAATGAGGGGGGTGCATCATGTTGTGCAAATGATCCCGAGCTTTCTGTTCCCAAGGCCTCTCTTTGTGCATTGTGGATTTTATGCAACTTTATTCACCATTCCTTCCCTCCTGACAGCTGCTCAGAGCCTGCTGCTTCCCAGAGCTCGGGATGTGCATCCCTGGATGTTGGCTCAGAAAATCCCAGCTCCCTACAAAGGAGAATCTGGGGAAGACAAAGCAGAGTCAGTTCTGTGCCCTTCCCTGCTCCTCTTTCCCTGTTATATCACATGGATTCCCTTGGTGTCATGAGTTCCACTGCTTTGAGATAGAAACCAGTGCCAGGAATGTTTCTGCTGCCCAAATATAGTCAGCATGACAGATCCTGCCTGGAGTCCAAACCAAATATCCACGCTCCAGAACCTCTCAAACTCAGCAGAACTCTGGAGCTGCAGCAGCAGTTGCCTGGTGAAGAATGGGGTGTATTTCCAGCAGTGTCAGCAAGGATTCTGGTGGCTCCAGAGGAGCAGGGACTTTGTCAGGAGCATTGCTGGTGTGCACAGCAAGGAGCTCCTGAGACTCCCTCTGCTCCATGAGCTGTATCTGGGAGTCCTGAGTCTTCTCCTCATCTGACTCTCGTTTCCCTAAAAAACAAAGTTTGTCTTGGCCTCAATGCTGAGCTGGTTTCTCAGCAAATATTTGGCTTGAACTTTAATCATTATGAAAGCTTCCTGCAGCCAGGGGTTTGGTGGGGTTGGATGTGCTGAATTTTGGTGTAGATGGGCACAGTGGATGCGGGGAGAGAAGGCAAAGTGCTTTCCAAGAAACTCTGCTTTCTGATCCACCCAGGGATCACCTGACAGGGGAGCAGGATCCTAAAATGTCGCAGTAGTTGTGAATCATCTCTGCAGCCCAAGATTCCCAGTCAGCCAGCACAAGATAAAACAGATCATGTGCAGCACAGTCTCTTCTCATTCAGAATCGTTCTGTGACTCATGGAAAAGGGTTTTCTTGGCTATGCTGACCCTTGGTAGCTGTATGGAGAAGTATTCAGGAACAGTGAGGTCCTAAAAATGCACTTTACTAAAGCTTTGTGCACTCAGCTGTGCTGAGATGTATTTCACAAAAACTTTTACCTTCTTTATATTATGAAGAAAATTTTTGGCTCCCTCAGGCAGTGCTTGGAGATTGTGAGTCCTCAATATTTAAAGCTTGGGTTCTTCTGCTCCCCTTCACAAAAATGAGTGCCACAAAAATAAGGCACTGAGTGGGTGCCTGGAGGGTTTCAGGTTCCTGTTCTGACAGATTCCACATTGACCTCAGGCAAATCTCTTCACCTGCTCTGAGTCTGTCCAAGGAGCAGGACAAAGCTCTACCCTGAGTCTGGACTGGGGGACATTCACTTGCCCCAAAGGACCAGGCTGCTCCAGCAGGAGGAGAAGTGGGTGTGCAGTGCATAAATTAATGTCTCTCTCCAGCACTGCCGAGTCTTCCTGGCTCTGGGAGAGGCACTTAAAGCTGTTCTGTGACTGAAACTCAATGTTCTTCCAGCTCTGTGTTTGATAAAAATATTTTTCTTGCAAGACAGTGCTGCCTTACTGGAGAAGAGCTCTTGGCTGGAGGTCTGGAGTCCCATTCCGAAGCAGGTTTTTCCTTCAAGACTCCTCTCTCAATCAGCCTTTCAGTTCTCATCTGCATGCTCTAAAAGAAATTTTGAGAATTTGGGCACTCAAGGCATAGATCAGTTGAGTTTCTCCCTTGGTGCTGTGATTGCAGCTCAAACCACAAACAGGGCTGCATTTGCATCTATTTCAAGCTCCAAATGCAGGATTTTTACAGTCATGCACAGGCACATTCCTTCTGCCAGTGGTGCTCCTGAGGAAGGAGGAATCATCCCTAGAAAGCTGCAGCAAGCAGCTGAGGGCAGCCAATTCCACAGGAGGGAGAGCCCTAGACCATGCTTTCTGCTCTTCCTCTTGCTCTCAGCTTCCCTTTGTAATTCTGTCCCTTGTTTCCTTGCCTGTTACTCCTTATCCTGTCCTTCTCCTGGGGTCTGAACCACTGCTGCACTTCGTGGTGTTTTTTCTTGGTGAGAATTGAAAATGTTCATGAAATTCTACACCCAGACTCACTTACTTATCCTGAGTTGGTTAAAAGCTCCAGGCCAGCTTTAGGCTGAAAATATATGAAACTAATAAAATGTTGCAGGCTTGATTATGAACTAGGGTGGAAAAAATTCCAATTAAAGCACTTTTTATTATTAAAATTACAAGGCTTTTCTGAAAACTTTCAAATGCCTCAGATGCCCCTAATGAATTTTTACATGACCTTCTCCCTCCCCGGCATTTGCTGGTGGCAATGGGAGCTTGCAGAGTTCTTTTTCCTCTGTCTGGTCCTGAGCTGGGGTTGAGTTCACCCCACTTCAGGACCAGACAGAAAAGCGCAGCTTTTGTCTCTGGAAACCTGAGAATTTCTGAGTGAGCTTTCTCAAAAAGCCTTGAATTGATTCTTGTCTGGAGCTTGGAGATGCCTCAAAGAATCTGCCAGCTGAAGACAAGCTGACAAACCTCTCCAAGCCAGTCCTCCAAAACAAGAGTGGCCTGAAAACAGTCAATAACCCAAGCACACCAGAAACTTGCAGATGCCCAGCCAAGTTTGATGGAAGAGGGTCTGGTGTTTACTTTTGTATGAGTTTGTAAACTCCCCGAACAGTTTCCCAAGCAGAGAGCCCAGACTGCTCTCCCAGCATCTCATTTTTCATCCTGAGGACAGCCCCAGCCCGTGACAAATGATGTGGAGCATCCCCAATGACACATTCCAAGGGGTTGATGTCTCCCTTCTGGATTCCTTTTGCTGCCTCCTCCCCCTGTGGTTTGTTGTGGGGGTTTTTTTTTGTTTTTTGGTTTTGGGTTTTTTTATTACTAAAGCTGACAACTGCAGATTTGCCTTCTGTTGCTCACACAGTTAAAGAGAAGAGTTTGTGTCCACCCCAGCTTGTTTCACTTTGCTGCTGCTCCTCCGCCAGCCCAAATTTCAGCTGCAGTAACACAATCCCACTTGGCAGAGCCTGAGAGAATCTTTGCCACATTGGAAAGAGGCTTAATGTAAAGTCTACTTTTTTCTTCTTCTTTTTTTTTAATTTTTTTTTTTTTTTTAGAGCTTTTTCAAACTTCCCTGGTTGTGCACAGCTCTGGCAGTAGCTGCATGGCTGCTCACAAATGGTCCAAATGTGAGCTCAAGGATTACAGATGCATTCTGTGAAGGGAATATCTTGAGTGCTTGTCCCAAAAACTCCTCAAGAACAACATGGATCAGGCTGAACAACTTTCTTCAGGCAGAAGGAAAAGCTCCTTGTCCCTGGAGAAGAAAAAGAGCAGTGGCTGGAGAACCACACTGGGGTTTTTGTGTCTGTTCCCTGTGCTGGTTTTGCTGGTGGTTGTGGAATATCCAGCTGGAGCTGCAGTTCATGAAATTCAGGTGAGGAGAAGGGGTCTGATCCTCAAATGCCTGGGAGGGGAGTGGGGTATCAAAGAGAGGTGCAGGTGTGCTCTGGTTAGAGGCTGGAATCTAAATATCTAAATAGGTAGACAAGTACCTAATCTAAATAGATAAATATACCCAATAGGTCTATAGATAAATAGATCTAAATAGCTAAATAGATACAAATAGATCTAAAAATATAAATATCTAACTAGATAAATCTATAAATCTCTAATCTAAATAGATAATAGATCTCAGTCTATAGACAAATCGATCTAAATAGATCTATGGATAAAAAATATCTAAACAGATAAATATCTAACTATATAATTCTCTAAATCACTAATCTAAATAAATGAATAGTTATAAATAAATCTATATGTAAATCTAAATAGAACAATGGATCTATAGATAAAAAATATCTAAACAGATAAACATCTGTAAAGCCATCAAGATGTATTCAGGACTGTTGGAACCCCTCATTGCAAAGGATCCCAAAAGATAATTGTGCACCCCAGTGGAATCAGGTGGTTGGAGCTGTGGGTGCAGCCTAAGAGAAGCAAACAGGGAATTCTAAGAAGGTTGGGGAGTTTTTCCTTGGAGCTTTGGCTGCTCCTGTGGCTTTTCTGCTTTCCTAGCCGAGGGTGATGTGGCATTGCCTGGTTTGGGATTTCTGAGGCTGGATTTCTCCCTGTACTCCAGAGCTCGTGGTGTGGGATCCAAACTGGAACTGCAGAAATCCCAGCTGCGTGTTTTTGGAGTCCATCCCTCCATGGGATACATTGAATCCAGGGGGAGCTTTGGCAGAGCCCTGGGGCTCCCAGAAGCTCACCTTCACTTTCTCCTTTAGCTTAATTTTAGCCTTTAATTTTATAAAAAAGAATCTTTAGGTACATCCTCTCCTGGTTTTTGTGTATATGAACATCCTGGCACTGCCCCCTCATTTGCATCACATGCTCAGGTTGTTATTAAGTACTCCTAATTCAGAGTGATGTTGCTGTTTGACTTGAGGGGAACTGCATAGCTGGGAGGGAGAAGGGAATTCATTACAATCATTACAGCTCAATGAAGTAAATTACTGGAAGTCTGAGTGCACAGGGTGAATAATTCAGAACAGGGCTGTTGGCCCTTCATACATGTATTTTAAATTTTCAGTTTATATATATAATTTATATTAGTGTATATATAATTTATATTTTATATTAGTGTATATATAATTTATATTTTATATATTATTTATTATATATAAAATTTTTATATATATATATGTTGTTGAGAGAGAGAATTGAATACATACCCTTCCAGAACATTTGGAGTATTTGAGACCTTAACCCACAGCTCACTGGGTTTCTTCCTGAGAGTGTCTGAACTTTTCAGTTCTGGGTAGCCTCAAAATCCTGGATATTTGTCATCCAGACAGATCCTTTGATCCAATCTGTGCTGTGGTTTTCTGTCGGAACCCCACACCTGAGCTGCAACCTTTGGATGGTTCCCCACCCTTCCCCGATTAATTTTGCAACACTTTTTGTTAATTAAAAGCATCTTTGTTGCCCCAGTGGTGGCAAAATCAGAGACTTGAGAAGAACAGAGCCCAGGAAAAAGGTTTGAGCAAAGACCTCAGCACCTCCTTTGATCCAGCAGTGATTGATGCTCTGATCACCCTGGTTTGGATTTTGAGGAGAAGTGACACATTATTTTAATTTTTCATTTTCTTTGTTCAGCACTAATGGCTTCAAGCTTTTATTCTCAGTAGTTACAGAAAATACAATGATTTTTCTCCCCTGGGGCTGCAGTTTTCCTTGCAGGAGGAGAAGCCAGCAGGCTCTTTCTGGCTGGATTTGTTCTCTGCTGGTGCCCAAGGGACTGGGAGAGCTCAGGATTCCCGTGCTGGAATTTAACAGCCAGAGGAGCCAAACTGCTCCCTGAGCTCCAGAAACCAGGAATGGCAACAGCAGTGGGGTGGATTGTGGAGGCTGGAAAGCAAATCCAGAGTGTCCTGCCTTTGCCAGAACACCCAGCACAAGGACAGAGAAATCCTGAGGAGTGTCAACACCTCACTCACCCCAGGATGAAGTTAACACATCTCCTGAGTCAGAATCTTCTGTAGCCTGACAGAATTCCCAGGAATCCTGATGCCAGGATGAATGAATGTGTAACCAACCCCAATCCTGGCACGGGATCCTGGAGAAAACAAAGGTGGGAACTATTTGCATAATTCTCCTCTACTTGAAAGAACTGTGAGAAAAACAAAAGGGGAAAATATCTGATTATCCTGTAATTATGAGCTGATCTTCTCCAGGCTCCTCTTGCAGCTCCTCCACCTTGCACCTGTTATGCTTAAAAGGAGGCAAAATTTTCCTTTTTTATCCAGGGAAATGTGGCTGTCAGATTAAAATCAGAGATAAAACCCACAGGGGATGAAGGGAGAGGGATGAGAGCCAGTGACCCATAGCCCATGTGCCCAAGGAGGAAAGGGCAAGGCCTTGAGCTGAGTGAACCCAAAAATGTGATCCAAATCCTGCCAAAATCTGCAGCCAGCAGGGAGGTGTTGGCTCCCAGCTCCATCCCATCGTGGTCCTCACAAAGCTGGTGCTAGTTTCAGCTGCAGGAAACACTGAAATCTGCCCTTGTAGGAAAGAAAGGTGCTTGAGATTGGGTCAGGATAGAAGGAAAAGGGCTGTCAGACTTGGTCAGGAGAAGGTTTCCAGCCTCTTCAAGCTGTGGAAAGGTGCTTGTGCTTCAGGCAGGACCCAGAGCTGTCACCTCAGGCCTCTTGTCTACTCTTATGACGACGAAGGATGTGGGTTTTTGGCTCTCAGGGCCTCATTTCTTCCATGAGGAAATTGCAGACAGCTCCTGCTGCCTGTGGAATGTGCTGTGAGGCTGGAAAGAGGCTCTTGCTGCAGCTTCTGTACCATGGCCACTTTCTCTGGCTCTAGGGAAGTGCCTTGGTGCCTCTGGAGCCCAGAGATTTTCAGTGTCTTAGCACCAAAAAGGGGAAACAGAACTGGAAGACTTACAAAAAACCACGCTGGGTCCCATTTGTTTCCCTCCAGCTACTAAAAGGCTTTTCTAGCTGCAGTCAGATGTGTCACAAAATTCAATGTCTTTTGCTCTTCAATGCTTTAAGGGCACTCCAGGTTTTCCAGGGCTTCTGTTTACTTTGAAGGCATTTCAGAGCTCTCTGAAAGAGCTCCCTGCACAAAGAGTTGCCTGTTTTACTAATTTCTCCAATTTAACAATTCTTCTGTAGTGAGGCTGGGGAGTGATGGCAAAGAGAGGAGGAAATGAAAACTTTCCAGGTATAGCTGCAGTACTTACTGTGGCCAGAAGCCTTCTGAGGCCTCATTTCTGCTCTCCAAAAGGAGAGGGGCTTTTTTGGGATGATGCAGGATTGATCTCATCTCTTGGATACCCCTCAGGCAGAAGTAGTGGTGCTCCCCGGCCCCAGGTGTCCTGCTCCATCTAGTTTTTTATTTTACACTGTGATGCCTTGGAGTGGCTACCTAGAACAGAGGCTGGATAAGGTTAAGAGAATAAAGTAGGGATTTATTAAAGGTCTTCAATAGGCACACCTTGGGCAGTGAAAAACCTCAGAGGGGCTACACCCAAGATGGACGATGGTCACCAGTTTTTCACACTATTATATTTTTGGTCCATTTAAATATCAGGGGTTAGTCCTCCAATTACAGCTTCAGGTAATGAAGTAATTTACCCCGGTTCTCCCCCACAATTCACTTTTGTTTATACTTTGTGGGGCCTGAGGCAGTGAGGTGTCCTTGATTCCCAGGCCTGGAGAGGAATTGCTGTGTCTGCCCAAAATGGGAAGGCAGCAGCTCCCACTGTGTGTGGAGTGTAGAGTTCTGCATTAATGCACTACAGGATTTGAAAAATATAAAGGCTAAAATCTTAAGGCATCAACTGTCCTGGAGTCTCTCTCATCTCCTCCAAGCTCCTGTTTTGTCTTTAAGGATGATGTCCCGGGCTCAGCTCTGCTCATCCCAGCTCCTCCTCGGCCTGCAGCGCGGAGCAGGCGATACACGATCACCCCAGGCCACCTCAAGTGGGACCACTTCAACCTCACCTACAAGTAAGGCCTGGAATCAGCCCCAGAAGTGATCCAGGGGCCTGAATTTTCCTGCTGTATCCAATGGCTTTGGATCTTGGCCCTGTGGCTTTTGCTGAGCCATGGGCCAGGGCAGGGAGAGCTGCTAAAGCCACTCCAAAGCAGGAATATTTTGACAAACACTCCACCTCTCACTGGAGTGAAACTGTTCAGGGCAGAGTCAGGCTCCCCACAACAGGGACCTCCCTCAGAAGGTCGTGATTGAGGATTAATTATGTTATCCTGGTGGGTTTTTTAAGAGTTCAGTATGAACTTAAATCAGCACCAAGGGCAATCACTGTTGAAAGGTGATCTCAGGATTTCTGGGATTTCTGGGATCTTAGCGCCGATGGATTTTAGCAGTGTCTCTCCTTTCTCTTTGGGAAAAGTCTACTGACAAATACACAATAAAAAACCCTTGATTACAATTCCATGGTGAGGGAAGGCTCTGCTCCTTCCCTTCCTGCTCATTCCAAACAGGCTCAGCCTCATGAGAGCCTTCACTGCCCAGGTTTGCCCTCACAAAGAGACTGGCTTGGTACGAAACCTTCTGCTCCCTTCAGGATGTGCAAGGGGAGAGCATAATCAGCATAGCTGAAAACCATCCCAGATGGATATGCCCAGCTTTTCCCAGTTGCTGCACTTGAGGCAGTTCCCTGAATGCAGATTTTCCTGTGGTATGAAGTAAGTTCCTGGGAGACATCTGCATTTTTGTGGCCCAAGGAGGGCTTCTGCCAGTCTGCACCATGAGTTTCCCCACAGTTTGCCCTGTGGCCTAAGCAAAAACGTCTCTTGAGTGCTGGGTTTCAAGCAAGACAAGCACCCTGATCAACTCCAGTGGTTATTCTCAGACGCTCGGTCCATATTCCACAGCATCAATGTGATGGATGGCAAATACGGCATTTATTGCAGGGAAATTTGACTTTTTATAGCCTGGGGTCATTGTGTTACTCCCATCTGCTTACATCACACTCAGGTGCTATTGGCTAATTACAAGGGGCCTTGCTATCCTAACAGAAAGGGGGGTTTGCTAACTTTCCGTTACATCCCCAGTTCTTCCTCATCGCCAGGCCCTAACTACAACACTTGAGTCTCTGTCCTAAGTAATGAGAATTTGTTTCATAGGAAAGAACTTCTTTCTCTATAGATTTTTTCCAAAGGAAAGAACTTCTTTCCCTGTACATTTTTTTTCTAAGCAAAGAACTTGTTTTCCCATCAAACCTTTTATGTTCTTCGTAACTTTTTAAAAAGTTCTTCCTGAAAGTATTCCACACCAGTGGAATATCCATATCCACTGGAGCCCAAGGGTGAGGAACAAGAATTCCCTGCTGTTGGAATGCAGCTCTTCTTCTAGCAACAGACTGGGATAGACCAGGATAAAAACAATTTTCCAAGAGAACTTGTGCTGAAGAGGAGGAACAAAAGCTGTAGTTAGTCCAGAACTACATTCTGCATTCTATTGTAAAGAATATCAGGAATTAATTCACCCCTCTGGGGGGGTGATTAAATATTGTTAACATCCAGCTCAAGCTACTCCTAATTCCAACCTCCTGCAGTGAGTTTGTGAAACACCAGAGAAGTTGACTGAAGCAGTCCTGAGAGCCTGCACATGTTTGAGGAAGGACTGGCATTTTCCTGAGGGTGTCCTGTGTGTTCCTGCAGGATCCTGTCCTTCCCAAGGAACCTCCTGAGCGCCAGGGACACGCGCCGGGGGCTGGCAGCTGCATTCCGCATGTGGAGTGAGGTGTCCCCATTCAGCTTCAGGGAGGTCCCACGGCACCTCCCCAGTGACCTCAAAATCGGTGAGTCCCCGCCGTGGGGTCCTGCTTTGGGGCAGGGAGCTGTGGTGTGTGTGAATTCCAGCAATTCCAGTGTGTAATCCAGAATCTGGGAGGCAGGAGAGCATCCCTATGCTGTGTGGACTCAGCAGGGCCTCTTGGATAAGGTTTGGGGTGTCCTTTGCCTTTAGCCAGGCAAAGAAAAACTACTTCTGTCTGCTCAAGGAATTCTTAATGTCACAATTAGCACTTCCTGTGAATCTGGTGGTCGGGAAGCTTCAGGCATTTGCCAAAAATGAACCCTCAAATTCTGCTGCTGGGATGGAATCCCACAGATAGGGAAGGCCATGGGAGAATAAGAAGACACAGGTGGGGAAAGCTACAGGAGAATAAGAATTGAATCCACAGATTCTTACTCCATGGATGGGGAAACTGAATGTTGGAAGGTGGAGTGACACACCCAGGCTCACAAAGAGCCACAGAACAGGTGAGGGATTCAAGCTGCTTCACTTGACTGGGTTCAGTCTCCCTTTTGCTGATCCTATTGGAGCAGTCACTGTTCCATCCCTTCCCTCCTCCCCTCCATGGCTCTGTAGCTGTTCCTGAATTTCCTGGGGCCTAGAAAAGTTCAGTGCTGAGGCATTTTCTGCTCAATCCCTGTCAATTCTTCCTGGGAATTCTGAGTGTGAAGCAGAGATTCCTTGTGCCAATGGCCCAGCAGATTCACCCTCATTTCATAACATGTTCCCCTCTGGTGCTGCAGGACGTGATGAGGCTCCCTGGGGTCTGACCTACCACTATGCGGGAGCTCCAGGTGCCCAGTTCCAGGGATTCAGGATCCACTGTGATCTTCCTGCAGCTCTGACTCCAAGGCATCTGCTTATTTATGTTCAAAATGGAACAATCCAGGGGTTTTCAGCTCTGTCCAGCTTCTCTCTCAAAAAGATAATTTCCACATGGTCTTGCAAGAGGAGCTCAGCATTCCCTGCTGGACCACAAACTGATTTGTGTCCTTTAGAAACAGCTCTAAATCCAGGGTCAGCACAGGGCTGAGTGTTGCCATCAGTCCTGACAATTGTTTTGCATTTATCTTTCCTTTTGTGGAGGCTGGAAAACACCTGGGATCCCATCGGAGACCTTTCCAGTGACCCAGGGTTTTTCTGGGCAGGCTGATCCTGATGGATAACCCTCAACCTGCTGCTTTTTCCACAGGTTTCTACTCCATCAACCACACAGACTGCCTGGAGTCTCTGACCCACCACTGCTTTGATGGCACCACAGGTGAACTGGCCCACGCCTTCTTCCCACCCCACGGAGAAATCCACTTTGATGACCATGAGTATTGGATCCTGGGGAACACCAGGTTCAGCTGGAAGAAAGGTAACACAGGGAGCACATGGAATGCCTGGGATATAGATTTTAGTCTGGGATTTACCTGATCTGGGAAAGTGATGACAGAAACAGTTGGAGTTTTATTGTGGGGTTGGAAGTTGTTATTCCTCTGCCCTGAGCCCAAACTGTGTGATGGCACAGCCAATTCTTGCTGGAATTATTTGAATTAGTGAAATTCTTTGGTAGCTCAGCCACATCCTTCAGTTAAAATCCATGTGCTGGATGCTGCCAAGAGGCTTGAGTTTGACTCCAGGCTGTGGAGGTCAAACAAGAGCATCTTTCAGACTGGAATTTTCCCAATCCCATTTCTTCAGCTCAGGGCTGTGGGGAGCAAAGTGAGCAGGAAGCTGAGGAGGGTCAGTGTTGCACTGGGTCAAACACTGCAGCTCTCCTGGAGCCTGGCACTGCTCTGGGTCCTGCTACTGGGAATGAGAAGCACATGGGAATAACTGGTTTGATTTGGGCCCAAGCAGCTACAGAGAATAGGAACCTAGGGCAGTGCTGCCTGTTCTAGTGCTGAAATCCTTCCTCTGGTTTTACACCTCACCAGGAGGAATTGTGTGATAAAGCAGAGCTGTACACCAACTGTACAACACCATTCCAGCTGGTTTTCCTTTCCCCCAGGGGTTTGGCTGACAGACCTGGTCCATGTGGCAGCCCATGAGATTGGACACGCCCTGGGCCTCATGCACTCGCTGAACCCCAATGCCCTCATGCACATCAATGCCACCCTGACGGGCAAAAAGAGCATTTCCCAGGATGAAGTGTGGGGAATCCACAGGCTCTATGGTGAGGAATCTCTGCAGGCCTTGCCTAAAGTGGCAACTGGATGCTGTGGAGCAATCGTGGTGTCACATTCCACCTCCTGTTGTTGTGCTCCTGCTTTAGATCGTTCCCCATCCCAGCTTCACCTTGTTCTTCCTGACATTTCACCTAAATCTGGTTGTTCAGTCTCCCCCAACCACTCTAACACCTCATCTCCTCCTGTTCCAGGCTGTAAGGACAGGTTATTTGTGTGCCCAGTATGGGCAAAAAAAGGCTTCTGTGAGAAGCGCAGGAAGCTGATGAAGAAGCACTGCCCATCCATCTGTGACTTCTGCTATGGTATCCAGCGAGTTTTCTGGGATTTGGGCTGGGGTCTGTACAGAGGGAGGAGGTAAAAGTGAGGCTGGGATAGGCAAGATGCTAATTTCATAATTCAGTGGACACAAGTGATCCAGCTCCAAGCAGCACAACAGAGATGGTGTCTTGTATATCTGAGTCCAGATCCAGGCCTGTAACGAGGAATGATTAAGCATTTATGGAGTGGAACATGAAATTGTCCCATTCCCCTCTGGTTTAGCTAAGCAAGGCAGAGAGAGGGGCTACAGAGCAGGTCCTGAGGCAGAGATGAGACAGAAACAAGACAAAAACATCTCCAGCACAGCTGGACTGGAGCTGCTCCCCAAAACAGGATATAAATGATGTTAATCACCTTATCCAGCCTTTTTGGGTCCAGATAAGGAACTATCAGGACTAGGTCAAGTTGCTGCAGCTGTGGGACTGAATTCAGATGAATACTGCTCTCCTTGGGGTATCCTGGATAACCAGTGCCTCCTTCTTCAGCACAGAGGGTTTTGGGGTTTTTTTTTGGGCCACATTAATGAGAAATGTAATCAGATAATTACAAACCCAGATATTCCACAGGCTTTTCACACACTGGACTGTTCATGTCCTCTTCCACAGCTGTGAAAGGGACAAGTTTGATTTTTATCCATCTCAGTTTACACGCCACAAAAATTTTATCTTCACACATCAATCATGTTATTTGTCTATTCAAGAACTGCTCAGAGGAGGCACTTTTAAATTAATACTTTTAAGGCTCCTTAAATGATAATTTTGTGAAAGCATTTTGGGGTGGCTGAAGCTCATTAACTGCTGCCATTTCCTTCTCTCCCTGGACAGAATTCCCATTTCCAACAGTGCCCCCCACTCTGCCCCCATCAAGGACCAAAACCAAGACAGTTTCTGAGGGCAGGAATGTCACCTTCCGCTGTGGGCAGAAGATCATTCATAAAAAAGGCAAAGTCTAGTAAGTGCTCTGTCCTTATCCCAGGCCTTAGGAAACTCTGCATACTGAAATCCATGAGGAAGAATGACAAGAAAAGGGTAAAGCAGAATGGAGTTTATAATCTGCAGCTCAAAATCCAATTTTTATATATAGCACAAAGCTAATTCCTACTACCAAGCCGAATTCCCTGGCTGTATTCTGAAAAAAACCAAAAACATAAAATTTAAATTTATTCTTTCAGGTTCTGTTACTAACAGAATACAGCCAGGTATGCTGTATACTTCTGTTACTAAAGTATGAAGAAGTTCTGGATGTATCAAATTTAGGTTGGCTCAAATCCATGAGCTGGTTTAGACTCAAGGACCCAAATTTCCATCAACTTTCCAAGATTCAAACTCCAAAATTATGCATGATTATGCCCTGTTAATCCTGGTTATCCACCTGAAATAAAGAGTAAAACTCAACTGTGTTTTGTAAATCTGTACACTTACTCATCAAAATTTATTAGTAGAAATAACTAATAACTAGTATTATTTTCATTATTTTTCTTCTAACAGCTGGTATAAAGATAAGGAACTTCTGGAATATTCATATCCAGGTTATTTATCCCTAAATGAAGATCACATGAGCATCATTGCAAATGCAATTAATGAAGGAACTTACACTTGCATAGTGAAGAAAAAAGAAAGAATCCTGACTACTTATTCCTGGAGAATCAGACTGAAGCACTGACACAACCCTGGAAGGAGCCCTTCAGTTCCTGCTCCTTCTGCTTCCAGTTGTTTCTTCAGCATTTTAGATTTAATCTCCAGTAGTGCAACTAAATTCTCCATCAGCTGCTTCAGTACCTTGGGCAAAAGAGACTGGGACTGGTTACTGGAATGTCAAACTCTTCCAGATTAATTTTAATGTTAAAGAATTTATTGACCATTTGCTGAACAAAGAATTAAAAAACTTTTTTTTTTTTTGTAAGAAAAGCATCAGATGCAGCTGTGTGGGGCACTGTGAACTGCTTCAAACCAGGAGCAGACTCTACTGCAGTCCCTGGGACAGTGGAATGGCAGGAAAAGGACAAGTTTAACATTCTCCAAGTGTTTTCCTGCCATTTTTCACATCCTGGTGCACTGCAGTAGAAGAAATGACAAGGCTAAGCCTTAATACTACTTTTATTTCACTTGTCAGGAGGATGAGGATCACACAAACCCTGTTTTGCTCCTCAGTTGTCTGTTCCAACACGTTCAATTCAAGGATCCACAGAACAGCTTTTTTCCCCCAAGTTCTTTCCTGTGGTTTGAGGGTTTTCCTCTTATCCCAAGATGCATTTATTGCTCAGAGCTCTGTCCTTGACAGGTCTGAGCTGCTCAGAGTTTGGTCCCTGTAGGGTCTGAGCCTTGAGGTCCTGTGGGAGATGAGGTGATCTCCTCCCTCAGGATGAGGTAGAAGTGCCACATCCAGCTGGAAAAGAGCTCAGGAGTGGCTGGCAAAGCTGGGGGCAGGGAAGCTGTGAAGGAAACAATTCCATGCCATAGCCAAACTATGCAGAGGGGTCATGGTTTAATCCTTCAGAGCTTCCCTGCACTCTGGCTTTTCAGTGGGTTCCTGGGGAAGCTTCTGGAATCAGGAATGTTTCAGCTGTTTCCCCTTCAGGGCTGAGGGGAACAGGAAAACAACAAGGCTGCTTTCCCAACTCACCACAACTGCAGCACGTTCACATTCCAGCCCAATGGCCTTTACCCAGGAAAACTCTCCAAAACAGACTGAAACTGATAAAATGTTTATGATTTGAGTTAATCCCTTACTGGCCTGGTGCCAAGCTGTGATTGCAGGAAAATGTGGTGTTTTCCAGATCTCCCTGTTCCCAGAACAAAGTGACAGCTTCACAAATCAGGGGCTCCAGAGGATGAGATTCCAAAATGATTCCTCCACTCCTCTTTCCCCAGAAAGGACTGGAATGTGGCCTTGCATAACCACTAAAACTGAGTTCTTCTCTGGATGGAAAAGGGGCATATTTAAAAAAAAGACCTTTCACAAAAAATAAAGTTTCAAGTCTCCATATTGAATCTTTTTGATTTATAAAACAATAGAGTAACTTGTTTTGCACCACTGTAAATACATTTACAGAAAAAAAATATCTGGTCAGGGAGTATCAAACCCAGCCCAGTTCTCTCCAAAGTTAACAGGACACAAATCTCAGAATTGTAATTTTTCTTTTTGCCCCAAATATATTCAGACACAAACAATTTACTTACTTAAAATAAAAAATAAACTCTTTACTGTCACCAACATCCCACTTTGTTGCATGTGAAGCAATGAAATCCTTCACACTATGAAACAATCGAAAATTTATTTTAATTCTACAAATTTACAAGGAAAACAAAACAAAAAATTCAACAAAAAAACCTCTAAAAATAGACAATAAACTGTTCCAGGACTGTTATTTCAAGTTGTCCTTTGTCACAGCTTGTGATGATCCTGGGGTTTTCAGGTAACTCCAGTCTTTTAATGGAATGCAGCAGTTAAACTCCACATTGATTTATAAAACAAAAGCCTTGGAATCTGTGGTAATCTGTGAGTTTTTTTCACAGGGAAAAACATCTGGTGCCCCTGACACAGAGAATAGAACTGGGGCACTGAAATCCACTCACATGAATGGTGCTTCTCTTTCCTTTGTGGGTTTTTTTTTCCCCCCGCCTTTTTCATGTTGAGTTCAAAACTTGAGGCTGAAGCCAGGTCCTGCAGCAGATGCTCCTTGATTTGTGGTGGTCAGATGGAAACCTGTGTCCTTCAGATCATCGTCACCCTGTGAAAACCAAGCACAGAGAATTGATCAAGGGCGGTGCAGCTGCATTTATGTCTCCAAAAATCTAAACAACAAAAATAATCAAAATATCTCAAGATGAGAAACAAATGTTTGACTTTGTGGCGTCACAGTTAAGGTTCATGCTGGGTTATTCATAATCTTTAAATATTGCTATTTCAAAATTTGCCATTGCTAAAAGCAGTTTGACTGTTGCTAGTTCCTGTACCCACTTCTGACTGCATGAGAGAGATAAAAAAATGGGTATAAATAAGTATAAACTTCACTTATTGAGCATCTAAATACAACATATAGTGCACATCCTCCATTGCAATGTTTACACCCTGAAAAATCAAGGCTAAATAAAATTTTTGTATTACTTAAACTGTGAATTGAGTACAATATAGTACAGTGTCATTTCAGCCACACTGCAAGATGGAACATGTAGTAAGAATTTTACAGAATTAGGAACCTAACATGCCATACTTACGGGGCCAGCACAGTTGCCATGGATAGATAGAAGGGATCTATCACAGAGAGAACACCAGCCTGGCCTCTTAGGAATTCTCCAAGACCAGAAAAAGACATCTGTTTCTATCCCAAAGATCTGTATCATTTACCAGGCTGTGGGTTTATTTCGAGCCCAAATTTAAGAGCTTAGATGAAGTTGTAAAACAATGAGTACTTTCAAAAGAGAAACTGCTCTGCACTAGGATAAACCAGACATTTCCGATTATGCCTTGAAATGGTGATTCTGGGAGCAGAGCAGTAACCGGCACTGGCATTTGGGAAGGGAAGCTGGACCTTCCCTGGGCTTTGGGAAGAAAACCTGGACTTTGCCTGCCAGTCCAGGTGAATCTTAGGATGCAAAGCAAAGCCCAGCCCTGGGGCAGGCTCCAGAGCCATGCCACACTCACCAGCACTGATTTTGGGAAGGAAAGCTGGACTGTCCCTGGCAGTGCAGGTCAATTTCAGGATGCCAAGCAAAGCCCAGTCCCAGGGCAGGTTCTGGAGCCGTGCCACACTCACCAGCTGGCTGTAGCCCAGCCCTCCCTCAGGGGGCCGAGGGCTGGTGCCCCTCTTGACCCGCTGCTGCTCGCTCTTGGCTGGCCAGGTAGGAAACATGGAGGGGTCAATGGGCAGCGGGGTCTCTCGGAAGTACTCATGCTTCAGCCCATCCTCGGCCGTGATCCGGCGCGCTGGGTAATATGTCAGGAAGCTGCCAAGGATGCAAAAATGGGAAATTTTAGTTCCACAAATTGTGAATTGTTCAGGAACGTGGTTGAGGGTTTTGTGATGTTTAACACAGCTCTGGTGTTGGGTACTGGGGATGGTTCTATTACTGGTATTGAGTGTAATTCTATTAATTTAGAATAATTCTATTAGTTGGGTGCAATTCTATGAGTAGGTATTGGGTATAATTCTGTCCCTTTGCTTTAATTCTATCAGTGGTATTGGGTGTAATTCTATTACTTTGGTATCATTTTATTACTGGGTATTGGGAATAATTCAATTAATAATGTATAATTCTATGACTGGGTATTGAGTGTAAGTCTATTCCATGGTAATTCTATATTAGAATTATACACAATACCAATTCCATGGGTATTGGGTATAATTCTAGTAACTGGGTATTGGGTATAATTCTATTAATTTGCTTTTAATTCTATTGCTGGTATTGGATATAATTTTATTACTGGTTATTAGGTATAATTAGTATAATTCTGTGACTGGGTATTGGGTATAATTCTTTTAATTTGGTTTAATTCTATTACTGGTATTAGGTATAATTCTAGGACTAGGTAATGGATATAACTATTAATTTGGTATAACTTTTTTACTGGACTAATTTGGTGTAATTTTATGACTGAGTATTGGGTATAATTCTATTAATCGTTCTATTATTTGATATAATTCTATTAATTTTGTATATTCTATGACTGGGTATTAGGTGTAATTCTATTAATTAGGTAAAATTCTCTTAATGATTGCTGCCACATCATCTAACAGAGCTGATTTTTAAGGCAGGCTCCTCCATGAATCTGTAATTGATGGGACAGCAGCTGGAACTACACATCCAAGCAGCACAGCTCTGCTCCCAGAGGTGTAAATCACTGGATAACTCAGACCCTTGGATAATACAGATACAGCTCCGAAGGGATCCAGGACAATTGCATTAGAGTATTTTACAATTTTTGCTATTTCCAGAGAGACTTTAGACATTCTATTAACACACCAGGTACTCTGGTAACACAGTGTAACTGCACAGCCTGGGTTTGATTTTAGAAACCTTTCACAACACAGAAAATTGTTTTCCTGCCTACATATTCCCAGGGATTCCCTGGAATTCGGCACCCACTTGTTCATCAAGTCAAAGCCCTGGTCAGAGAGCAGAGCACCGAATCTCTTGCGCAGGTTGTTGTAGGGATATTCTGTGAAGGTCATTTTCTTCACTGCTGGCAGCTCGTTGTAACCAGGCCAGATCTTTTCACTGGGAGTACCCAGATCCTGCAAATTAAAATATCTCTTTAATAAACTCAGAGTGCAATCTTTTATTTATTCATTAGGAGTTAGGAAGTATCCAGAGAAAACAGACACAATAAATCATGGTCTCAGCCTACCCAAAGTGTTTTAAAGCAGATTAAGGCTGAATCTCTGTTAAAAGAGCAATATGCAGTATTCCTATATTTCCACTTCTAAAAACAGTCAAAATCCCAAAACATTAAAAAAATTACCTTAAAAACCTTGTTAATCTGGTCGATTTCTGACTTCCCTGGGAACAGCGGCTTCTGTGTCAGCAGCTCCCCAAAAATACACCCCACTGACCACATGTCGATGGCTGTGGAATATTCCTGGAAAGAAGGGAAATAAAATTACACTTCAGAAAAATCAGGAAGATATTTTCACTGATTTGTTTGGAGGTGTGTTGCAGCTTTTGGGGGATTTATTTGGGTTTTTTTTAGCAGAACACACAAAACTGTTTTGCCACAATCCATGGAAGTCCATCACCACTGACCACATCAGCATTCCAAGGGACAACATCCATCTGTCACCCACTCACCCTCTGTCTGGGGAGGATGGAAGGGTTTTAGATGTCATTAGGAGGAAAGACCCAAGCATGTTCACACTTTGGTTGTGATTTATAAAATACAGTCAAGCCTGCAGTCACTGCTCCAGCAGCCAGAGGAACAAGGAGGAACTCACCTTTGCTCCAAGCAACAGCTCTGGAGCTCTGTACCACAGGGTCACAACCACAGGGGTGTAGGGCTTCAGGGGAGACCCATATTCCCTGGCTAATCCAAAATCTCCAACCTGAAAGGAAAATAAGCAACATTTACAGCACTGTTCATTCACCATCAGTACCATGATGGCCATCTCACAGAACTTTGGGCACAGCTATAACTGTGCAATTCTGCAGAACGGAATTTGTTCTAATTTCCTCAATTTTTTCCTAATTCTTACTTTCAAAATGCCCGAATGACTGAGCAGCAGGTTGGAAGTTTTCAAGTCTCGGTGAAGGATCCAGTTGTCATGGAGGTGTTTGACCCCTCGTAGTAACTGAATCATCAAAGTTTTCACTTCCCCTGGAATCGTAAAAAAAACCCACCATGTATTGAAGAAAATAAATCTGTTTTTGTGTTTTTTTTTTTTGGAGAACTGGGAAAAGGGGAGGAAGGAGTGATAAGTTAAAAGCACAGTATAGCCTGCACCTTAAAAATGTGTCACAGAGCAGCAAAATTCATTTGGGCAGCTGGAATTCATACAAATTATGCCCAGAAATTATTGTCTTGCATAGAAAGCAGCCAAAATTAAAGCCCAGTATTCTTTTCCAGCTCAGCACAGGGGAAACTCCCCCAGTTTCACCTCTGAATAGCTCCACCCCAAACGCACAAACTGGATTCATCACCAGCTACCACTACAAGGATCACCCAACCCCTTAATTTGTGTCAAGTTTTACAGAACAAACAGAAAAAGCAAGGAAATCTCAGTTCCAAGAAACACGGGACATTCCAAAGCAACCCATGGCACTGCCTAAAGCCAGCTCTCTGCTGCCAGCAGGGTCATTTCTGCCATTTGTGTTGGCCACTTTTCCAGCTCTGAGAATTTCATGGTACTGTGGCAAACAGTACCTGGCAGGAAAGGCTGTTTCATTGTTTCCATCAAGCTCTTGAGGTCATGTTCTACATAGTTCATCACAATATAGATTTTATCCATGTTACTGCCCACAACGATCTCCTGCAACACAGAACCAGATGAGCAAAACCTGCACATGGTGTTTAAAAAGCATCCAAAATCAATTTTAGAAATATACTGGCAAGAGAATAGAGGCTGCCATTGGTAAAATCCTTAGAAATGTATTTTTTCTATTAATAAACAGCTTATTGTTTTGTAAAACATCAGATTGTGCACAGTGATCTCTACACAGCCTTAGGAGCAGCACACAACTGTTCACAGAAGCAAGATCTGCCAGGGCTGCTGATGTTTTCATATTTAAAAGCCAAGAGGAGTATTTCAAGAACAAAGGTACTTGAGACATAAAAGACTGCAACCTTACTCTGACAGTGACAATATTTAGGTGCTGTGCTTTCAGAATTGTATTTATTTCTCTCAGGGAAGTTATAGGAAAACCTTCCTTCTCCTTTTCCATTTTCAGTCGCTTCAGAGCCACAATTTCATCTGCAAAGGAAAAACATTTCCCATCACACAGTTAATAAATACATATTACCAGGTCCCCCAGTGTTCTCTCACTGATTAAATATTTAATTAACTGTCCTGTTTTGCCTCAAAAACGAGCAGCTTGCTGGTAAAGAAATATTTTAAATAGATTTTGTTCATCACTGAAAAATGCAGAAATAATTTGCACATGAGTGCTGCCCTAAATACCCTAAAGAAAGTGGAGGGCACTGATACCCACCAGTCTTTTTGTCCTTTGCCCTGTACACCACACCATAGGTTCCTTCTTCAATCCTGTTCAAACACTGGAATTCCTCCACACTGCGACATCCCTGAAAAAACACAGGGACAGCATTTACTCCTCCAGCGTCTGGGGGAAGGTTTTGCTTTTTTAAAATTTTCCGCACTTTCGCAGTTAAAATTTACCAGAATAATTCAGCTATAAACCATATGAGAAAGGTATCTTTGCGGTTTATTTTTCATAGAGTTTCTAAAGGAATCCTGCACAGAGCTTGTGTTTCAGCAGATTAACTAAATTATTCCATTCACTTTTGCACAGAATAATCTTAAGTATCTGCCACAAAGGCAAAGGCAGCAACTCACCACCTTTCACAGTCAGCTTTCACATAATTAATTAGTAAAAATCTGATTTGTATTAGCATTTCTACACTTCACTGTGGGCTACATAAAGAATAACCAGTTTCTGTTCATGGTAACAGAACTCTCAAAAGGATCTATTTTCAGATAGCAATGCCAAGATAACAGACATCAATGATATAATTACCTTCTTACCTACATCTAGGAGGGTGATCCCCTACCTGGAGTGCAGGAAGATACTTGGGAAGCTCCTGTTTCAGATCAATGGGGGAGGAAGCTGGAGAATCAGGAATATATTCCCCTTCTGTCATGGCATTGGAATGAGGGGATCCCTCCCCGACCTCCTCCTCCTCCACCTCGCTCCCTGCAGAATCCCGATCAAATCTTGACTCTGGAACTTTAAAAGTCAGAATCAGTCGTGGAAAGAAGAGCTGGCTGGAGTAATTAAATAGCTTTAGGCAAATAAAGGTGGTGACAACATTGAGCGCTGCAAGGGACAGGATCATGGAGAAGCCAAATTTCTCCTCTTGGCAAAGGTGATGCTTTTAAGAATTCACCTACCATTTCCAGTGTTAAGGCAGCAGGTCAGAAAAAAAAAAATATCTCTACACCAAAATGAAAGACACCTGAATGAATGAAACCTAGGATGTTTCATTCTGATTGCAAAACTCTTTTGATGAGAGAACAGGACAAAAGAACACAAAATGAAAGAGAAGGAAACATCAGCTCATTAGACTGATTCACTCTAAACATAAAGCTTGGAGCAGATTTCAAGGAATTTCTGAATTTGACACGAGAATAGCGTTTCAATCTTCTAAATATTTGTAGAAATACATTTATTTAGCTGCAAAAATTCAGCCAAACACTTATTTAAAACAGTCAGTATTTGCATTGTACCAACTGGGATGTGGTTTCCATTCTCCCGTTCCTCCTCTTCACTCATTTCCTCTTCACTCACCTCCTCTGCAAAACAGAACCAAGTTTGATTAGAAAAACTCCACATTTCTGCAGCTCCTTGGAAGGCAAATCCCTGCTGAAATCCTCTCCTATCTCACCAGGCATCTGCACTGCCAGTGACCAAGCACTTCTGTTTCACTTGGACAGCAAATGCTTCCAACAGGGAACACAACTTTGTCTGGGAATTGGGAAGTGGGAAGGTAAATAAATTATGAATATTTGCTTATTAACTGTAATTGATTTTAAAGAAAAACACCCAGCCATCAGAGCCTGCTCTTGTGCCTTTTCTTTACTAATTAATGACAAAAGCTGCACAAGCAGCTGTGCCCAGACTTCTTTACTGAATCTTTTGTTATTATGTTTATTCGTTTGGAAAGAAGTTCTGAAATTTTCAACAGAAAATAATTCAAAATTATAAAGATATTTGGATTTCACCACCCCCCAAAGACATGCAAATTGTTCTCTGCAGAGTATTTGATGTGTTACAGAACCACCTGAACTGCTGACCAGTTATGGAGACAAAAATGGCTTTCAGGTTTCTGATCTGGCTTCTGAGATGAAGAATTGGTATTACCTCTACACAAAAGGATAGAACAGGACTTGTACTTGGGTTTTTTCTTTTTAGTTATCTTGACCTGTGAGGTCTCATCCTAGCCTAGACTAAGAGGAAAGGAAAACGTTCAAATAAAACAACAGAGGATGAGAAAAAAAGAAAATCACACACCCCTGGAAGCCCTTTGTGATTCTCACCTGCTGATTGCTCAGACACTTCCTCAGAATTGCTTCCTGTCTCCTCCTCCTCCTCCTCTTCTTCCTCTCCCTCTTCCTCAGAGCCTTCACTGCTGGACTCTTCCTCCTCCTCTTCTGAGCCTGATCCAGATTCTGTCCAGAATAATCAGGCACTTAACACTAACAGTGTTTGCTCAGCAGAGAAATTAATTACATCTGTACAATTAATTACAGCTCCTAAATTGCATGTAATCACCTGAGGAAGACTCTGCCGAGCTGGTTTTTCTCTCACTGTCACTGATGTCTTGCAAGTCTGACAGAGGATCCCTCTCTTCTTGTTTCTCTTCTTTTACTGCTGAAACCATAAAAATTAAAAACACAGTGCTAAATGAGTATCATTTCCAAGCTTCTGAATTCCCAGATAACTGCTTCACTTTCTGCTGGCATTAAATCAGTGCTGAACATTCAGTATTGGAAATTCAGAGCACTAAAAAAAAAATAATCATTTCACACTGCTCAGTGACAAACAGCTTTTCTGAATCGCAGTGGGGCAGGATCAAGAGCCAAAAATATGGAATATTGACTTGATTTTTAAACATGATGTCTTCCTAAGGTTTTCTAAGATGAATTAAAACAGGAAAAAAAGAGAAAATAGCACCATGGTGACAAGAATCACCAGGACAGGGTCCTTACACACTAGTTATTGTCAGTGCTCACTGCTCCAGTGCAGTGATCACCATTAAAAACCCCTGGTGGTTGATTAGGCAGGAGTTTCCCAGGACTTGCTGCCTGCCTCCACTTGGAATTCCAGCCATTTCCATCCTCCTCTGAGTGGCTACACTTCTTTTCACAGTTGGACACGTTAGCAAGGCAGACACAGAGCTTTTCTCCTTCAAACAAAGGCATTTTTATGTCACTTGTGCAAGTTCTCTACCCCCAGAACCTTAAGGTGGGACCATTTTCTGGCTTGGAAAATAAAATTCATCATCTAAGCAGAACTCTGTCTTAAGAATTTAATTTCTTCTACAAGATGGCAGAATCAGTGATGTGTTCATTGATCCCTGTGAGGCCACTTTTTAAGGTAGTTTAATTCCTAACCCGAAATCCAACTGGAGCTGGAATAACCAATCCCTTTTTAACCTGCAAGGGAATTCAACTGCAGGGTTTTAAAAATTCAGTCAGCTGCTTCTTTCACCACTGAACGGGGTAACTAATTTTGAAACTTCTCCAATTGCTACTCCTACCCCTAAATCCATTCCATTTGTCACTTGTGCAACTCCTGCAAAACCAGCACTGCTTTATAAAAGAGATACTTGTGAAGATTCCAGAGTTACACCGCTGGGGCTGAGCTGGACAATACTTAACTGAGCACCTAGGATGTTCGTTTGAGACTAAAAATTAAACGCTACCCCAGCCCAGTTCCTGCTGCCCCCCAAGACAGTGTAGAGTGGCAGATGCTACCTGGTTTCCTGCTCTCTCCTTGCTCAAGCTTGTCTCTCTGCTGGCGCAAAGGGCTGCGACTCCAGGGTCTCATTTTTACTTTGTCTCCATATTCTTCCCTTACTGTTCTATGGTGTGCAGAAACTAGGGAAACAAAACCACAAGAAATTGTTACATCTGCCTAATTAGAGTTGTCCTGTCTGCCACAGCCACCTGATTTGAATGCTTTTCTTTTTCCTTTTTACAGGGTAACAGGGAAGAGTGGGACAGGAATCTACTTTAATCTGGGAGAATGAAGGGCTTTGACTTATCTTAAATGAAATATGGATTTGTACTGCTTAGAGAAAGCTGCTGCCACACTTAGAAGCAAGCTGCCCTGTATGTTACACATTATACACCCTGATTCTAAAGCATTAATGCCAGAGAAAGAAGTGAAAAATATGTAAAAGAATAAAACCAGCCGAGGTTTAGAAGGAGCTGACAGAACATTCAGAACAATAAAGCAAATTAAATGAACAGTTACACAGATTGAGCACTATCAGCACAAAGGCAAGCACAAAAAGGAGCTATTCGGTATGAGCCGAGCAAGAAAGAGAAAGCAAAATATATGGTTTGTTCTGCTATTCTTGAATAATCTTTTTCACCAGATCACAGGAATGGGCTCCAATTTTTACCTCTGAAAGCTGGGACAGAGATCCTTGAACCAAAACTGATCTCAGCTGAGATTAAAAATACCCAATATGCTGTGAGAAGAGTTCAAGTGGAGAACTTAAACTGTTCAGGCACCAGATCTTCCCACTGGACTCCCACCACAGCATTTTCCATGCCTTGAGTACTTACATGACCTCTCCCTCTTTGTAATTTATTCCCCCAAATCTTTCAAACACTGAATTTTGAGGTTTCAACCTCTATCAAACTGAGTTAGACTCAGCCAAAGAGTTCAGAACAACTGGAGTTGTGCTGGCTGCACACAGTGGCACCAAAATCTTGTTTTTATAGGAGATCTCCCCGACAGGGAGAGGCAAAGACTCATTGACTGATCAACCTGCCAGGATATTTAAGGCACATAACATCACCACATTATCTCCCCATGTAAAACTTACATTTCCTTTCCCCTCCCATGTCAAAGGCCTCCCCACTTAATTTTTTTTCAAAATTCTGGCACTGCTTTAAGTAAAAAAACCACTTTCTATCCCTCCATTCCACTACTGTGTCAGCAGTGATAGTAAATATGAAGAATATTTATGCAGAGGGAGTCACCTTCTCTCCTTGCTTCCCTCTCCTTCCTCCTCTCCTCAGCTCTCCTTTCTCGCTCCTTTTGCTCCCGTTGTTCCTTCTGCTGCTCCCGGATTTTTCTTTCCCTTTCTCTCTCAAGTTGCTCCAGACGATCTCTGGAAAATAATTTTTGTTTGTTACAAATTCAGGTCATGCAGCACCATACCACTAAACCCAGCTTCCTTATCAATACCCTCAGTTGTGCATCAGTCAAAAACAGGTGGAGTTTTTCAGCTCATCCCTTAAAAAACAGGTTTAGAAGACCCAGACCAGGAGTCCTCCACCCTATCAGGAATTAAGCAGAAATTAAGCCAGTTCAGTAAATTAATCCCCTGATACTGTGCAAATCTGGTCTGTACTTTTTTTTAGGTTGAAAAAACTTCTGAGACCATCCAATCTTTTTGTTACAGTGAACCACTGGCAGTGAATGTCCATGGGAACAAAGCACTTAAAAATAATTAATGAGAAGAACACATTCCATCAGACAACACATTCCCAGAAACACAGACAAGTTTTCACTGTGGATTTTTTTGGTTATTTCACGACAACAAATGCTCAGAGGAGGCAGCTGCTGATCTCCCTCCCCAGGGGAGGGAGGGATGGATGTACCTCTCCCTCCTGGAATGCTCCCTTGCCATCTCTCTCCGTTTCTGTCTCTCCCATTCACGCCGGGCTTTATCCTGCTCTTCTCTATGTCTCTTCCTACGCTCATGCTCCCGCTCCTTCTCCTTCACTCTGGCATGTTTCCCTTGAACAAACAGAATTCAATTTCTGAGTGTTACTGCTCAAAATATTCACCAAAAACAGAACTTAAAGAGGCTGAAACTGATGGGAACCTATTGCCATGACCTCTGTTGTTTTCTTAAAAAGGCAAATCCTGTTCTGAAAGGGAGCCGGAAAGTCTGAAGTCTGTAAGATCTTGCATCAATATTTGTATTAAAGTAAAAAATGACTGTTATTGACAGGAAGACAATAGGAATGTCTCTAGAATGGATATTTTTTTCTTTGGGAGGTACAAAGATCAGAGGTCTTTCACTCAGTGAAACGAGAGAGAATCTTATCAGGCTTCAAGGAGTAAAAGTGACCTCAGTGTCCCTGTCCCAGAGAGGTTTCTGTCTTCTCAACCATGTTCACACCTCTGGTATTCCCATAAGGGCACTAAACACACTAAACAGCCAAAGAAATAATAAAAGTTTAAATTCCTCTGTCTTATCCACCTGCTGTTTCCTGTAGTCTGAGTTATTTTTATTTACTCTACTCCCAGAAACCAGAAGCTTCCAAGAGTGGCAAGAAGCACCTTCTGCAGAATGACTCCGGTGCCTGCGTTTCTCTTTCCTCTTCTCATCTTTCCTGTGGTGGGTTTTTTCTTTCCGGGACATTTGCTGGGGTGGTTTGATAGCCAAGGAATCATCTTCTTCTCCCCTGAAAGGTAGGACAGGAATAAACTCAGGGAGCTGACAGGGGAAATCCACAGATTTCCTTGTTTTGAAAAGATGCCCATTTTATATTTAATTTCCACAATAACCCTAAAACAAAACTGGAACACAACTCTGTGAAATCTTCACCAGTGCTTCAAAAAGTTACCTGATGTATTCTATAAAAAGGATTTCCACTTTTGCTCACTAAAAAATTAGATTTTCCCTTCAGATATTTGAAACCCTCTTCTCAAGACGCTGAAAGGTTAATTCCATAAACTGTTTCTATTTTTATTTTCTCATTCTTACCTGTCTTCCATGGAGTCTTCCCTCCTGTAAGGTGAGTTCCTGATGGTGATTTCCATGCGGTGGTCTCTCAGCTCCCCCTCTTCAAGAGAATCCCTCTTTGAATCCCTGTCATCTGACTGAGGGAATCACAGGAGAGGGGAAAATTCCATTTACTTGTATGGCTCAAAATGAAAAAAATTAAATATTACTGAAGTCTTCTATTGCTGGCTCAAAAATTCAGTCTGGACTAGTCACCCCTGTAAAATCCACTGATTTATGACAGCAGCACTTTGACTACAATTATAGCTGAAGTGCATTAATTTGACATAATTAAATACTCAGGAGAATTGCCATATTGTGTGTTTTTTCCTGCAATAATTATTTTGTACACAGCTGCACAAAACCAAACAGCAACATAAAAGTGATTCCAAGTCGATGATTTTAACCCATTCTTCCATAAAATCGTTAAGAGTCGTTCCTTGAACTGCAAGTCCCAGTTAATTAATTTACATTTTCTGACCAATAACTATAACAAAGCATATTATATAGTGCAAGACCAATGAAATCTTCACAAAGCACTATACTTTTGTTAAACCCTAGAATTAGGGACCACACAGAAAATAATTCAGCTGACAGCACATGAGAAAATCAGAAGAATCTCCAGAAAATCAGGATACACGCACTGTACCCCCTTAAAAAGCACTTTTCTACTAATAAAGTAAATAATTAATTAAAATGAATCCCAAACGCCAGCTTACATTTTTCATACGTTTGATCTCCGCCTTCTCCTCTTGTTCCTTCCTTCGCTTCTTCTCTTGGAGAATCTCATCTAAGGTCTTCACTTTCCAAGAATCCTTTTCATCACCCATTTGAGTTAAAAAAACACCCTCTGTAAAAGACGTTGACAAACGCAACAAGTAAATCTGGTTTACACACATTTTTTTCAGTGCAAACAATGTTTTATTTTTGACTAAAGTCAAGCTGGAGTTGATTTATGGTGAACCGAAAATGTTTGTTTTAAGCCCAAAGGAAAGACTGCTAGGAACTCAGGGAGCTGCTGCAAAGCATATAAAACAGTTTGTGGCCAAGGTTTGGTGCCACACATTTGATAATGACCTGAGACCTCGGGGGAGTTAACAAAGCTTGGAAAAAAAGGACACAAGGAATGCAGAATTTATGGGATAACAGGCTGAACTCCTGAGATAAGGATAAAAACAACGAAGTCAAATCAGCAACCGTGCTAGAATCAGCTGTCACTAAGGAAAAGGTAATTCCAGCAAGACCACCGACCGAAGAAACGAGAGACTGAGCACAGTACTAATTAGCACGAGATAGCTAATAGACAGAAGGAGGAAAATTAATTCGCAAGAGAACTACGTCACTTATAGCCAATGAGCACAAATTCCTTGCTTTACTGAAATGTATAAACAGCAAAAATATGAGAACTGGGGTTTTGACTTGCGGAATACCCAGAGCACCCAACTCTGAGCTAACTCATCGCTGTCTCCCTCTCGTGTGTCACTCCCGGCTTGTCGCACACCGCGGAACGAAGACCATTTTGGCGGCCAACACCGCCCACGCCCCGCGCATCCCCGGCGGGGCCAAACAGCTCCGCGGCCCTCACGGAGCGCTGCCGGTCACGGGCCCGCCAGCGCGGCCGCACCGCCGGACTCCCTCAGCACTGGGCTTCCCCCACAACCCCGAGAACCCCACGGAGCCCCCGCAGTGTCCCCGCAGTGTTCCCGCAGTGTCCCCTCAGAGCCTCCACGCCCCCCCGCCCCGCTCACCGCCGCTGCCACCGGACACTGCGAGCAGCAGCGCGCGACTCACACGTCACTTCCGCCCGCCGCCGCGCGGCGCTTACGTCAGAGCCTACTCACGGCGCGGTAATTAACGCAAGTCGTTAATGAGTTGTTAATTGAGCTGTCCCTCAACCGAACCCCCTGCCAGCCAGAGGGGCATTAATGAACCTCCAGGCTGTGCGTGTTCAGCAATAAACCGAAATACAGCGAACAGGCGGTAGGGTGGGAATGGAGGCGTTGGTACCACAGGGCCGCCTTTTACTACACATAAAATTGTGGAGTTTGAATAAAGCGCGATTCCAACCAAAAGCCGCAGTTCCTAAATGGAAATGAGTGTGCAGGGAGGAGGTGACAGAGGCGACACAGTGACTTCTAATAAATGGAATTGATTCGTGCTAACTAAATTGTAACTATTTGGAAAGTTATTATTAGAAGCAATCCAAAGAATCAGTGTTACAAGGCAGATTTAACCCTTTACAGATGTTACATGTTAAAATAGTTTGGAAGATAAGTGATGTCCCAAGACAAAAACGGCCTTGAGATGGACAAAATTAGAATGACTTTAGGCATTGGGCCTAAAAATCAGTAAATATAAGACTGATTAGTAGACTTACATAACACAACGCTTATTATGCACATGCAAACCTTTAAGGTTATCCAAAGGACAACAAGGAAGAGGAGAAGCCTTTGCCGAAAGAACCACCCCCCCTAAAAGAAGACTGAAGACCCCCTAACAAGAAGTGAGGCATGCGATGTGAAGAAAAGTGACATAAAGTCAGAAAAATCGGAAATAGGAGGAAACTTACGGGAAATATTAATGAATATGTATAAGCATACAGTATATAAGTTTAGTTTGAAGTGCTTTGTTTGGTATGTGAGGCAGGGTGAGAAACCCTCTCCGTACCCTGGTCAGTTTTGTACGTGAGGCTGAGTGAGGAACCTCCTCCATACCCCGGTCGGTTTTGCTTATGCTTTAATCATACTTAATTACTGGCAGATTATATATATAAATTGTAATTTTTTGCTAAATAATATGCTCTTACTAAACTGTATTATTTTATACCAAATTACTATTCAATTTACTAAATTGTATTCATTTTTAATTAAACTGCCATTAACCCAAGGGATCTAGTTGTCAAAATTCCAATTTCATTTATAACAGACTGGGCATGGCACAGAACAGCAAAGATCCCTAATAACAATCCCTAAAATGCACTGATCCGTAATTATCCTCCACTGGAAATATGACAATATAATGTCATATAATAGGCCATATAATGGGAAATAATGATAATTTAGAAGCACAGGGAGTGCTGTAACATCTTACACCTCAGTGCATCAGGAATTCTCAGTTAAGGAAGATGTGCTCTATTGAAAAATGTAAAATAAATAATCTGCACAGCTCCAGCTCACAGAGCTCATCCTCATCACCAGTACTTGGGTGTGGCAGCAAGAAATGCAATGAAAGAAACTCTAAAATGTTCCCATGTTCCCCCAGATTTTCTGGGCAGCACTGCTTCTGTCACACCATAGAAAGAGCTGGGGTGTGACACCCTTGAAAATTCTTAACAAAGAGCAAAAATCTTGTTTACACAAGAGAAAAGAAGATTTACTGCTCTGACTGGAAAATAAAAAGGTTTTACAAGTGGAGAGCCAGGAGGTTGGTTTGTTTAATCTAAGGAAAGCAAAGGCCAAAGAGATGGCAAAGCAAAATACACAAGATCAACACTGGAACAAAGCCCAACAGAAGAGGAGGGTTGTGCTGCCACCCATGAGCTTCTCCAGGGGTTCAAATCCCATTCCCAAATCCTCCCAGGGCTCTGTTTAGGTCACAGAAAATCAAAAACCTGCTGGGCTTTAAAATGAAGCAGCTGATGGTGGGATTTATGTTAGAGCAGAGCTGGGATTTCTGTCACCTAAAGCAGAAATATGACACAAACCACACTTTTTTTTTTTTTTTTTTTTTTTTTGTAGTTGTACTTTAAAAAAATCTCAGTGTATTTGGCAGAAAACAAACAAAAAAACCCACAGAGCAGCACGCCACGGTCCATAGCTTTTATAAAAGTGACAGGAATACAAAAGAAAACGAAATACCACAGATGTGTCACATACACAAGAATGAAAAAATTGGTATTTCCTTTCCACAGATCTTTGGGGAATCTGCCCCAGGCAGCCACTTAGGTGTGGAAATGTAATCACAAGTGTAAATGTAATTTTACAGGAATTCCACTGGTAACTTCCTGTTAGCCATTATTTTTAGCATAAATACCCACTATATATCCATGCTCCAACCTCCCAGAAGGGTGGCAATTATTAAAATCCACTCATTTTAACTTAAGTTTTGTTTCCAAAAATCCCATGTGAATGTTTTTGTAGCTACATGTGTGCTTTTTTTGCCGAAACAAATGACTGTTCTCCAGAATTTTGAAAAGGAAAGTTAACTTTTAACCTTTGATCTACCACAAAAACAAATGTCCTTTAAAAAAAAAGAAACTTACAAGCAGCAGAAATAAAGATTTGCCTCAGTTTATGGTTAATATTCCTCCCTTCCATCTGTCATGGATGCCTCTGAGATTTCTTTACATAATGAAAAATTAGATATTTTACATGCAGGTCAGACTCATAACCCTGAGTTTCTAAAAGGCAGCCTTTTGTTGCACTCTTAGAAATAATATAAAATACCCCATCAATTTCTTTCCTCATGAAAATGAAATTAAAACAACAAAATGGTTTCTTACAGAAATACAGACATTCTGCTTCTTTTCTCACCACAATTTTCAGGTGTTTTTTTATCTCTAAGCAACTACAAGTATTGAATTCAACACTCCATTTACAAAGGGTATGTGTGTGAACACTTGCATGTCAGTTTTGTCAGTAAACCATCGGAATGTGATATTCCCACGTTACATTTTAGGAGGAAAACCACTACAAATCCTGGATTTGTAGTCAGCAGTTGGGTGTTCACCACAGCTCATTGCCCATAGTTTGCTTCAACCAAACCTATAAAGTTGGTTTTTTGGGAGAGAAAGGAGGGAATTCATCATCCCTCTTAGAATGATGGAATATCCTGAGTTGGAGGGGACCCACAAGGATCATCCAGTCCAACTCCTGCCCTGCACAGACACCCCAAAATCCCATCTTGTACTGTCCAAATGCTCCCGGAGCTCTGGCAGGTTTTGGGGGCCCAAAAATTCCTTAGGGCTTGAGATCCTTGAGGCCACCCCAGAGCAGAGCAGAGCGGGAAGATCCCTGCTTTGGACCTCTTCCATCTCTACACCACACAGGAATGACAGAGGATGCAGGAAATACAGAGCAATAACTGGGAATTTCCATGAGGCACCAATTCCATCCCTCTGCCAGCAGAATTCAGTGTGGGGCCACATTTTCACATTATTTGGATGGGGAGGGAGACAGTAATTGCTTTCCCACAAGACACCAAAGTTCCTTCACTAACACAAGCTTGGTCATGATTTGCAGTCGAGGAAAAACAATAAAGTCCACGTTTACATTCCAGGTCCTCTCTTTGGGGCATAAGATTCCCAAGGCTTTCTTGGATTCTTCCCAGCTCCTTCCTGCTTCAAGTCCTGGGCAAGACTTGCCAGGAACTCAAAGGAACCAAAGGAAAAACCACATCCAGAAGGATTTCCTTGGAGCCTTGCTTGGTTGGCAGGATAATGAGCCACATTAATCATAGGGTTCCAAATCCTTGGGGATCAGAGGCTCGGTGTCCTCAGTGGGCCCTGGCAGGGGCTGTGGGGCTATGACCAGGCTGTGCAGGGTCTCCTGCTGGTGCTGCTTGGCCTTGTTGTAGAGCAGGACCCCCATGGTGACCAGGACAGTGCCCACAGCTGACAGGCTGGTGATCTTGTTCCCAAAGACAATGATGCTGAGCCAGATGGACAGGGCGTGTTTGACAGTGCTGGCAACGCTGCAGACAACGGCATGGACATCAGGCACAGTGGGGACAGCTAGGACATGAGGGACATGAGCAGCTCTGCCACATCCCACAGCCAGTCTTTAATGTCTGCCTTGCTCCTAAACACCACCTCAGATGCCACTTCAAACCCCCACCATCCTGGAATTTCACTTCTTCATCTCTTTCCAAAATACCTTTAATTTTCCTTTTTTTCTAGCCACCACTTCCAGCCCCAGCCATCCTATGATTTACCTCATTCATGTCTTTGCACAATACCTTTAGTTGTCCTTTTTTCAAATGCCACCTCAAATTCCACTTCCAGCCCCAACCATCCCGTGATTTTCCTCATTCACCTCTTTGCACACTACTTTTACTGCCTGGCTCTCAAGCAGAAATACTGTGCAGGTAAAAAAAGAATAGAAAATAATGTTCCTGCCAAAAAATGCGAAATAGTGTTCTTGACCAAAAAATTATAAAATGGTGTTTCTGACCAAAAAAAAATTTATAAAATACAGTTCCTAAAAGGAATATAAAACTGTGTTTCTGACAAAAGGGTATAAAATAGTGTTCCTGACCTAAAAAATAGAAAACAGTGTTTGTGACAAAAATGAAAAAATAGTATTCCTGACACAAAATATTCTACAATAGTGGTCCTGACCAAAAAATAGAAAATAATGCTCCTGATAATTTTACCTGAAAGTCACAGGAGAAATTTTCCCCATCAAGGCATAGGCTGTGACACTCTGCAGGTGGAAGAGGACTCCATCTATCAGGAGGAGAATGACAATATCCTGGTTGTAGCTGAAGCTCCTCCCGCTTTTCCCAATCACAGGGACATCCTAAATGAAAAAGAAAAAAAAAAGAAAAAAAAAAAAAGGAATAGAA